ACCCCGCCTTCACCAAGGTCGTCGGCAACTTCTCCGCGCTCGACTACATGCGCCTCTCCACCATCTCCGCCGTCTCCGTCACCGTCGGCTACCTCTCCGGTACGTCCTCCTAGCCCCTAACCTTCTCCCCGTACGGCCGTCCTCTTTCCTTCGCCCCCGGAGGCTCAAATCCGCGTTCTTGGGGGGTGCTCGCAGGGATCAAGCCGGGGATCCGCGGGCCGTCGATGGTGACGGGGGGCCTCATCGGGGTCCTCGGAGGGTTCATGTACGCCTACCAGAACTCCGCCGGACGCCTCATGGGGTTCTTCCCCAACGAATCCGAGGTCGCGCGCTACAAGTACAAGCTGTAGTGGTAGACGGCATCATCATTTCTCCCCGTTTCTCAACCGCAAGTGTTACATCTTTGCTTTTACCTTTCTAATCTCACTTGGCGTGAGCTGCACTTGGTGTGGGCAATGTGTGGTCTTGGTGTAATAAATGGGGTGCCTTGCTGCACAGTAGTGAGGAATTCATGATAATGATTTTACTCGTTTTGTTATGACAGAGTCAAAATTTGATCGCCATTTCGGTGAACTTCTGGAATTGGAGAACTGTTGTGTTAAAATGGATTTTGGTATCTCTAGATTGAGTAGTGTGATTTTCTTTTGCCTCACGCTGGCTAACTGTGGCGTAAGGCTGTCCAAAGAGGTGTCTAGAGAACTTTCTTTATCGAGAGTTACCTGGTGTGAAGCTGTTACGGCCTAGATGTGGTGTGAATATTAGTGCACATGTGTCTCTAGAGAATCTGGGAATATGAAGCAAGGTTGCAGGTTTAGGCAGCAGTTGAGCACACATAAATTCATCAATTCTTACAAGCCCAGGAAATAAATAAGTTTTGCTGCCTGGTAACTTGATCCACATAATGAGTTGATGATAATTGTACTCCCTTCATTTCAAATTAGGTTTCGTTAGGACAAGCCATTGACCAACAAGTACTCTATATATATTCATTAGATTCGTATTTCAAATACTTATTTGTGGTTATGATTTTCTACCACAAAAGTTACATACTTAAGTGTAATACAAAGACTTGTCCTAGGGAAACCTAATATGCAAGATATTTTGGAACAGAGGTAATATTTGGCAAGTGTGCATCCATGCATTTTGAGTTAATATGAAATAAGTTTATTTTTCTTCTTACTTCCATTCACCATCGTGCTTGGTTGGATATGCAATGCTTGATGTATCATAGGAATGAATATATCTGATTATTTGTAGAAAATATGCTAACCTCGTTTATTAAAATGGATCCTGCTGTGAAATAG